CTCGTGGAAGCGTTTCAGCACGGCGAACAACAACAAGAAGAAGCTCGACAATAAAAACAAGAACATTGGCTTCAGGCAGCCGCTCGATAACATACCCATCGTCGACAAGAACAAGAACATACAGACGCCTCAGGTGATCCTTGATTTTTCTTTCCCTCGTATCTCTCGCGAAACGTCGTGTCGAAATATCTCGCACTAGTTTCAATTGCCCGTTCCGTCGATGCGAATATTCCACGAAGAGAACGGAACCAGTGGCTCGGCACGCTTGCGATCGTTCGGTTGAAAAGTATCGAGACGTGGAATGCGTGGCTCTAGAGCTTGCGACGCAATCGTCTACGTGGCGATTGCGGCAAGGGTGGCCCATTTTCGTGCAGGCGTCCGGCGAAGTAGCCTCGAACCGACTCGGAAGTCTCGTGCATAGAACGTCGAAGGTGCTTTGACCCCAGATACGATCGAAAGTATATCGATCGCACTCGTTCTTTCCCTTGCTTTGTTTTACGAGCACGCGCGTATTTTCCTCCATTTTCTTTCTTTCCGACTGTAAAGTAATATCGCCTCGCAAGGAACCCGATTATTCGGCCAGACCAGGCGCCCCAACGTGAAACGGAAGTCGAGACTCCCCTGTCGATGAAGAATTATTCATCGCCCGGCACGCTGCCGATCCCATTTCACTCCATCAAAGATACATCGTCTCCCGCGTGTATTCTTACGATGATTAATCCTCTATTCCGTTGGAGCAGACGAAACCACCGGCGTCGAACAACAATCACACCACGCACAACCCGACGTGCGAGAAGCCTGCACCCCTGAAGCCAAGGAAAGCCGTGATCCAAGCCTCGACATCGGAATTGCTCAAATGCCTCGGCGTCTTCCTTCACAGGAAATGCACCCGTTTAAGACACTTCGAGGCAGGCGACGCCATCATGTGGCTGAGGACCGTCGACAGGAGTCTACTGCTTCAAGGCTGGCAGGTGAGCCTGGTCCACCCAACTTTCCGCGCGAATTTCCTCTCGGAGAGCATCCCCACGTGTCGATTGCGCCATGGGTCAGAGAAGCTCGTTGGGAAAGCGAAATTAGTCGATGTTTCCACGCGAGCGACGCGGTCGCACTCGATAGCAGGCCGAGCAATTAACGATAACGCGATAATTAATATTTATCCGAGGCGCGGGCGCGTTCTCGCTGCTATCTGATTAAAGCCCGTCGTCGGAGTATCGCGATAACGAGTTAATTAAGGCAGACACCGAGCGATTCACAGTTAACGATCGAATTACCGTCGCCATTAACCCCTGACGGAAAGTGCGAGCGATAGAAACGAAAGTTGAACGAGGTTCGCCAATCGGGAACACAGCTTCCTCTGGCCCGGAAGATATTCCGCTGCGCGGTCGAATCGTCGTCGACATCCTCCGAGTCAATGCGTAATTGGGGTGCAGGGAAGAGTGTCGAGGCACTTGGGCGAAACGAGATTCGCCACGCGTCGCAACACCACCCTCCACTCCTTTCCTATCGAAACTCTTCCACGCTTCGGGGTGCATGTGCGCGCGGTCACCCACGGGAATACGCGTACTCGTAACGAGTGCCACCGCGTTAGTCACAATATGTCACGGAGGGAATTAAGCTCTTCGCGGAACGAAACACCAGCTTCCATTTAGGCGCGTCCATATGCTACTTCGCGGCGCGATCAACCGGTCGCTGCACACGGTTTACATTGCTATTCGCACGAGCAGTGATCGAGTCACTGTTTCCCTTCGACTGGGATTCGTTTTCGCTGTCAAATCTCGCGTTCGTTCTGCCAATACCGTGATCACGACTTATGTACATTCTACGCCACTGGGACTACCCACACTTTCGTCTCCCTTTGCGTTAGGAAAAGGATTCTTTTTCTCGTTATCGCGTGGGTATTGTCTCGTGTCGTTTTGTTCGAATGGAGTTCCGACTGTGGTGATTTTGACGTATTTCGAGGATGTTAACGAGCGTTCGGTGTATAGGAAGCAGGCGCGTGTCCTTCGAGCATAGTACGAAGTTGGTTCACGTGTCTATCGGGCGTAGCCATTATCGCGTGCTGCTCGAGACACGGTGAATAGCGGGGAATTCCATTTTCGATGTATTGTTACCGAAAGTCGATCAACGTGCAAGACGTTGAAAGCGCAAGAAATGGCGATTCTTCCGTCATCGGGGCCCGCAGCATGAATCGCGTCGGAAAGAACGACAAAACCGTCACCGATAAGGCTGCCGTTCGCGATTGTTCGCGGTTTCTCGAATAACCGTGAACGAAACAAAACGGGAAAGTATCGGCGAATATCGAATTGGGTCAAGTACTGGCATACGATTAGACACCACCTTGAGTCCAAGTACCACTGCAAATTTATCGCTTTTATTTTCACCCGCCAACCCGACACGAACGCTCCCCCGGCGTCCAACCCCGTTTCTCAGCGAGCTGCGTTTCCAGAATCGCGTGGAAAATCGTTCCTCTACCTGATAAACGCTCGTTTCCTTCGACTGTCCCTTTTTTCCGCCCGGACACGAAGGTCATTATCGATTATCCGGCTTACGAGCCACCACGAGGTGTTTTCGTGGAGAACCGTCATCGTTCTAGCCACGAAAACGATATTTACTCGGCGTGGCAAGCGGCTTCTCTATCGTCACCAGTGACGTCCGTGTCCCAGGCCACCTTGGTAACGATTTCATCCCACGTGCATCGACGATGTAATTTCTAGCTATTACGTAAAACTTGCAGGCTTTTCTCTTCGTGCAACGTTGCGTCGGTGTACCTGCGTTCTCCACGCGCTTTATCGCCATTGCTCGGAAACATCTTGACCTTAAACCTTCTCATCGTTACGCGTAAACAGATGTACGAGGAATAAAATTATCGAGAAGCGATGGGAAACTGGGTAACTCGCGTTTCAAACGATTCCCTTAATTCCTGTATCGATAGACGCGACAGGTTCGGTGTGCATGTCCGATAAACTCACCCCCGAAAAGAGCGTCCAAGGGTGCCGGTTTATCTTTCTATTGAGAATCGTCCCTTAACCGGCTTATCTTAAAGACTCCGTCAAGATTATACCCTCTTCTATCACGGAACGTTTCTCCGTCTCCTGTATCCGTCTATAGGGGGATGATCGAAGAACGGGGCGTGTGTTCTAAAGCTGGCCCTACTATATTCGTAACACTTGGCCGAATCGACTGGAATATTTATACGTTCGACCCGCTAATCCAGTTGCAAAAGTTCGATCGAAATGCGACATTTCCATCGACGCGTTTCGCGTACAGCTGTCAGCATCGATCTTCGACTCGTACCTCGAACGATTCCTTTTTTCCCTCCCCTCCCCCCCCCCCCCCCCCCCCCTGTCCAGTGGGCTGCGTTAACGCCGATGAAACGCGAGATTTCTCCGTTGGATCGATCACGGGATCAAGGGGAATAGGCGAGGGTATTAAGGGAAGCTGCACGACTGGAAATAGCGTCTTCTCTGCGGCAAAGGAACGCGGGAAAGCAATCCCCCTTTGCCTCTATTCGACCTATGCGAAAGTCACGAGTTCGCCGCAACGATTCACGATGGCCGACGTTCGCGGGCGAAAGTAGCATTGACAGCAGCGTGGATGCACGCACACGGTAATAAGGGGCGGGAACGGGGCTGATCCACGTGCGTGTGTTTATTCGTCTGAGCGAGTGCACGGGTGTACAGGCAAACATACGCAAAGCCGCGGCTCTCGCTGTCAAAGGATCTCTTTAGCGATCATCTCCGGAGCAACCCTGTTTTCCAACCCCAAATCCTACTAGCCCTTGCTCGAACCTCGAGCACAGCGTCCCTTCCACGAGTGTCCGGGGTCGATTCTATTTCCTGGCCCCTGCCGTTCCTCCGTGCTCGATATCGTCCCTCTGTATCGCGCACAACTATAAACTCCGACACAATTATCAGCGGAATTATTTTTAGTTCGATGCTCCGGCCTGTTACGCTATCGGCCACCCGTTCCTCGTCACCTACTTTCCTCGCACGGGCTCGCTATAATAAACCGACTAAAATCCTTTTATAGCTAGGCTGGACGCTTTTCCCATTCCCTAGTTCATCCCCCATGCGGCACTAATTCGCGCGTAGTACGCGTACGGCGCCGTATTTGTCTTCTCTTTTTTCTCTCCTCTCTCCGGCAGAAATTGGAACGCTGCGCGGTTAATTATAAAGAACCGGTGGTGGCGAATCGATAGGGGGCCTATCGGAGGGGGTGGGTAAGGCGCCACGGAAAATGTGCGCAGCAATGTGCAGCCCCGAGGAAAACCGCGTGATGGGTGGGAGCTAGGGTCACGTGCGTGCAGTGGCAACGTCGCAGAGCCACCCCTTAGCCAGTGTGGAAATATGCGGGGGACCTCGCCAGGGACGTTCACCCTTCGGTTTTAATTGCGAAGGGGAGACGACCTCTTCCCGAACCCCGGAGCTTCTTACCCACGAGAGAAGAAGCTCCCAGCCAAGGGAAAGGGATTACTTAAAAAAATTGCAGCTTTCGTCGGCCGTTTGTCAGCGCGGGTTTATCGAAACGATGCAACGCTCACCCCTCGTTTTCCAGGGGTCCCGATGTTTCGGGAAATCTGCAAGGAAAGAGAGAGAGAGAGAGAGAGAGATAGAGAGAGACGTCGACGAGATAAAGTTGCACGATGTTACTTGGTTCCGTAGGAAAGAATTTCCACGTCGTTGAGGAGAGAGAGAGAGAAAGAGAGATAGAGAAACGTCGACGAGATAAAGTTGCACGATGTTACTTGGTTCCGTAGGAAAGAATTTCCACGTCGTTGAAAGTTGCTCGTTAGTGGTGGATGTTTTCCATTTCCCTGCCTAGAAACGGAGATTCGATGGTCGATGCGAAGTTTCGCGTAAGCTTATTGCTGTACGTTCTACCGTATCGCAGCCGCGTCGAATTATCGAAAGCCCCCAATAGTGTTACGTAAAAGTTGCCTTTATCGATTCGCCGCTGCGAAACCGAAATGCTATTATTATTAAATATCGGCCGGAATTTTTCCTTCTTATCTGCCGCTGGCGCACGAAAAAATCGGTGGTCTATAGAAAATTGTCGGCCTAAAAATATTTTTAGCACCGAGCAACGCTCCGTCGTGAAAATATTTGCGAAAAAGAAAAGGGAAAGAAAAGGAAAGAGGAGGAGAAAGCAGCAGGGAAAATGAACTGAAAATGAACTTTCGCTGGAAATAATTGAAAACTCCGTGAAGATGTAAGGCTTGCCCTGAAAGTTCGGACTGCGAGAGGCTGGCAAGGACGATCGCTGCATAATTACTCGCGATTCGCGGTGACTTTGACGCAAGTGGGGCAATCAGATGCCCTGAATAATTTTCCGTCGTGCTTTCTGCCACTTCTCCTTGCAGATGCCACTTAATTCGACGTTAAGTGGCGCGCATAACAACGACGGTCATCGAAGCGACGACTGTAATGGCGGAACACTTTCTCGGAAATTGTACCCCCTCGCACGAAACAGAGCGGAAAAAAAGCAAAAGCTCCGCGACCAAATTATCCGACAACTGTCACGGGGCGTACTCGGTACTCGTGCTTTTCGAGTGTTCCTTTTTATCGACGCTCGCTTCCCCGGAAATGCTCGTTTATTTCACCGTCGCTGCCGTTCCGCGTTCGATTCGCTCTCGGCGTTTCGTAGAAGCCGCGCGGGTATTATGCCGCATGGTATTATACCGCGAGGAGGGAACGAAACGACAGAAAAGCACGCTCTCCTCGGCCTGAGGTTTCCACGCGACGACGGAGAACCGCAAATCGATCGTGCACGTGCTGAAATCTAATCAGTCAAGGGTGACACACGCAGCCCGCCCTAGAAACACACTCGCGTCGAGGGCGTCGACGGATTTCGCGCGCTAGGCGATGCGGTCGCGTTGACAGATTCGAGTTTCCACTGAGAGCGAAACGAGAGGTTTAAAGAGACGGAAGACGGGAACGAATTACGAACCTGTTTACTCACCTTCGTCTCCGTTAACTTGCTTAACACGGTTGAAAACAAGTCGAAAGCACAGGAAAGTCAAATCCGAACGCACGAAGCGCATTCTTTCGATTGGATTACGTAAAAGTAGCGGTAACTCGCGTTAGCGTGGAATTTTCGAAGGTTACAACCGGAATATCCGATGGACGGGATTAGGTAACCGAGTTTGTTCTATTTGCTGCAACAGCGTTTCCGCTACGAGTCGCATAATCCTCTTTCGACGAAAACACTGCCAAGTTTCCAGCCCGCTGTGGGTGGTCAGCCTGGTCTTCGAGAAGATTCGCGTGTCATTTCGGATCTCGATCGATCCTTCGTTCCTCGATGTCAACCTATTTTTCTCTCTTTGGCCAGCTTGCTCGTCACGAAGAAGCACGTGACCGCGCTGCGAGTTTGACAGTCGCTAGACGTCGGAGTAGGAGCAACACGTAGATCGTTTAAGTTAGAACGTTAATCCACTTTGTCTAGACGGTAAATAGAAGAAGGTTGAGCGTCATTGCGGAGAATCCCGTTAAAGGGAAACCGTATATCGATGGAACCGTTTCCCGTGTACACGGTGTGGCTGGTGTAACGACAAAGGGAAAGCGCACGTGCAAGATACGCTATCTTTGTTCCTGTCAACGGGAAGCCAAGCGAACCGATTTCGAATTCCGGAGAATCGTGACCCGTAATCGCACGCGACGCGTGCACCGCGTTATGTTCTCGATCATCCGCGGATTATCTCGCTGTCAGAGATCTGCACGATCGCGATCGGTGCATTCTTGCTCTCCGAATGTCTTCCGAAAGGAGGACGATTTCTCAGCGATTTTTCGGGTCGTATTGATACACGTGGCGAAAGCAATCGTCCGAGGCAGGATCGAATTCAATTAGACCAAAGAGAGTGGTCCCTCGAGATACCACGGGACATCAAAGGGACACTTTGGTGGGGGTGAATGCGACCTCGCGTTGATTGGAGCTAAAAGCGTGTACCTCCGCGGGTTCTGATCGGTGGAATTAAAGGTTCGTCGCCGTCTCGGGCGTAGAGGGCGCCGAAAATTCAATTAGTAGCGTTGAATCTTCGATAAGCCGATGAAAAACGCGGCTGCAGAGGTCCGCGTAGGGATGCAGGCCGCTCACCCCTGGCAAATATCGACCGGGATGAATATACCGGGCTGGTTGTGTTCCCGTCGGCTCTGTGTCGCCGTTTTTCCACCCTCGGAGGCTTTGCCGGAGCCACGTTACAGCCGAGCAGGTGGGCTCTGTGAGCTGACCAAGACACGTGGAAACTCCACGGACATATCGGGCACATGCCTCGGTGAGGTCTTTATTTTAAAAATAAATCGCTCCTCCTTTGCCGTGCCATCCTGCTCTCCCCGTGCTCGCGCCCCGATACTGCGATCAATTAATATCGAAAGCTATTATCTGTCCTGAAAAACGAAAATAGCCCGGCTATTTATACACCGGAGCGCGCGGTGTTTTGTAACTTAGCTGCCGCGAGACCCTTTTTCTTCCTTTTACAACTTTACACGGCTACCTTCCTCCTTTTTGCCAGCTATCGACCGGCTCCTTTCCTTCCTTTTGCCGGCTACACCGGCCTGCCACGGAAACTCTTTGCTTTCTTTTCACCACTCTCGCGGATCTTCTTCTCCTCCTTTGTGACGCGCGATATCGTTAACTCCGGTCTCAAATCTCGCCCCCTGTCCTCGCTATCGCTCGTGACACGCTTCCTGGATCCACCTGTTACGATTCGAGCGAACATCCGTGCCCTCCGACGCGAGCTTCCGCTCGGTTGATCGCCCACCGTCGAAACGAACTCTAACGACGTCGCCTCTCGGCCACGGTGACGACGACCCGGTGCATCCAGCACGAGCGTCGACGTCTCCGCTGATCGTCGCACGTGTCCCGGTCGCATCAGGTCGCTCGTTCGCATCGAGCCGTGTGCGAACGCTTCACGCGCTTAACGAGGGTGGCGACGGGGTGGCGACTGGGTGACGCGAGGTGCAACAACCGGCGGGGCGACAACGCGCTGGCTAAATCGCCGCCGGCCGAGAGGAAGCGTGTAGTATCGGGAGCATCGATCCTGCCAGGTCACCGCGGGACCTCGCCGTCGGTGCATCCATATGTGCAAGAAACGCCGCCCCTCTACACGAACCCTCGCCGATCGGAAAAACCGCCCCGCCTGTGATCACCACCGTACGTTTTAATTATCACAAAGCATTCGTTGTAATTGGAGAACGACTCCGGGGGTGGGGCGAGAGATTGCTCGAAGGGTCAAAGACTCGCTCCGCTTTGATTATGAAATCGAGAACGCCTGTGTGTGTATGCGGATCAAAAGCGCAGCGGGGAATCGTGGAGAAGTCGATTAATTTCGAAAAGGATTCCCCGTGTTCCGTGTGCTTTTCCTCCAACTTCGATGCTCGAAACACGACGATTGCTATAACCTATAATCCGTTGTCACCGTTGCGGTATCCAACCTACCGATGGGACGTTAATCGTTTACCACGGACCATGGGCGTGTCTCTGTGTACATCCGAATTTGATGTACACGCGAGATAAACGAGTTAAGTTCGATGAACGCTGCCGCACGATCATCCGTACCTTTGTGCAAGCGTTAAGCCAATGATCGGACCATCGGCGGTCTGAGCGTGCTCCACGAGCCAATGCACTTTGCCCGTGCACTCTCGGGCCAGGTCGACCTACGCGCCGTGTCCTAATTCTCTAATGACTCGGAGGACTCGGTTTCTAGAGCAAGGAGAACGACTTTGCTAAAGGACAAGCGACGAAAGTAGACGGCTTCAGCCGTCGCTGTTAATATTCAGCTCGCGGAGCACGGAAATAGCCGTATAGGTCGCGATACTCGGTATTAACGCTTCTGTTCATAATTCGGATTCGTGCTCCGAAGTCTTGGGAAGAACGTTTAGTCACGCGTTAAAATACGTATATACTCCAAGAACGCCACGTTCCTTTAATTCGATTACACTTGGGAAGATTATAACCCGACGCGTACAAGTTTAGCAAAGTTTCAGCCCGCAAATGAAAATCGTCGCACGAAAGAAACCTTGATCTATTCCACTCGTTGGGGTCACGATTCCAGCTGAATAAACTCGCGTAGGAGACACGCGTAGATCCCGAAAACTGCGTCAGTGGAAACGCAGATAGGGAAGTTAACGCGATAAAATAGGAGAGATAGAGCTGCTCGTGTGACGATGATAAGCGAATGGCAGGGTGCAGGGGAGCAGACCGCGAAACGTGGTTTGCCCGTGGAGGCCGCGATGAAAGGAAGACCCGTGGCAATCGAAGTATCGACCGCGGCCGTCGTCGAGTGCGACAATGCCGATTGTAATTTCGCAAGCGTGGCACGTAATGCGACACCGAGCGTGAATCATCCCTTTCTGCCGGTCTAGAAGTATCGTCTGCGCACTGCTAGCCAAGAAGAAGCACTTGGCGTAACCCGAATGCGCGGGGCTGCGCCCGTGCTGGAATAATACGTGCGCTCCCCTGCGCCAGGAACGCATCGAATGTCCGTCTAGGCTTCTCTGCTCGAAGGAATTCGATTTTACGCGTCACCATGTTTCCATGTAGGTCGGGTCTTGTCGTCGCCTTCGACTTTGATTGCTAGGACTGGCGATGCGCGTGGAAAGTGGCAGATGGAGATGTAGAAAAGTTTGGTACTGGTATCGAGGATGGGTACTAACGTAGATTGTTCTCCAACAGGACATCGCGTTCATCAATCCGGCCAACGTTGTGTTCATTTATATGCTGGTGAGAGAGCTGGTGGACGGAGAAGAAGGTTCCGAGACAGAGCTCCAGGCGACGGTGTTAACGTGCCTGTACTTGAGCTACAGCTACATGGGCAACGAGATCAGCTATCCCTTGAAACCGTTCCTCATCGAGGATAACAAAGACAAGTTCTGGGACAGGTGCTTGCTGATCGTGAATCGTCTAAGCTCCAAGATGCTGCGGATTAACAGCGAACCGGGATTCTTCACGGAGGTCTTCACTGAACTGAAGGTTCGTTGTAGTCCACGTAGAGCTAGAGTTAAATTGCTAGAGTATGTTCGATCGAGTAGGAATAAGGATTAAAAGAGAAATTCGAATTAGGCCTGCGGAGCTGGCGATCGAGATAATCTGCCTGGTACCGGCCTCGAGCGAAGCCTCGTCGTCTCCGGAGTCGCGGTACCCACCAAGGCGGCTTGACGGAGCTACACACACTTGCTGGTGCGCTTCGACAGGCACAGCTGCGACGTCACGACACTCTGACGACGGTCGTCGCGACGACGAGGAGCTGCCACCGCAGCTTGACCCCTCCGCATCGACCTCTACCTCGACGTTGCATCGACAACCTCATCAGCATCATCACCATCACCATCACCATCACCACCATCATCGACCTAGCCGCGACGATGGGGAGCCGAGCGGACGATGTCAGTCCTGTGGTCAGAAACGTCGGGAAGAGATCTCCTACATGATCGAGGATCTGGACGCTATCGAGCCGGCGCCTCTCGAGTCTCAGAGAACGCCAACGACCCAGAGAACCTGCAGCTGCGACACGGTCGACGCGACAGAGAACCGGGATCGTAGAGATCTCCGCAAGTACCGAAGCATCGACCCTAGATGGACCGACAGTAGCTTCCTCTCTCCCGACGACGCGATCCGGGACCTGAAGAAACGCGCCAGCGACGGAACCGAGTTTCGATGGGCTCTGCACACGTCCAGCACCGATCTGGACCTGGCCAAGAAGACCAGATGCAGTTGTCACAGCCTGACACCGGAGGAGAAGAAGTCGCAGGACGTCCAGCGAGGCGATCTCAGGAAGCACCACAGCGCGGAAACGGACAAATGGTCGATCAAGCCGGATTACTTGAAAACGCCGATGCACGATCTGAGGAAGCACAGCAGCGACGACACGAGAATGGCCAGGGAAGCCAGGTGGTTGCAGGTTCCGGAGGTGTTGCCCAATCCGAAGCCAAGGTGCACCTGTCCAAAGTCGAAGGTGCTGCCACCTTCGCCGGCGGTGGAGCCGCCGGAAGCAGTGGAACCGGAGAAACCGAGGTTACAGGAACCGGAACGGAAGCTGTATCATTCAGCCTCGTTAACGGTGGAGCGCAAGGAAGAGCCGACTGCGCAGCCGGCTCCGGAGAAACCGGAACTGAAGAAGCACGCCAGCGAGGATACAAGGCTAGTGAGAACCGAGAGGGTCAGGGAGAGACCGAAGCTGGAACGATCTCACGCGAGAGTCGACAGTCAAACGTCGAAGAAATGGGGCGTCCAGGAGAAGGTGAAGGAGAAGGTGACCAGTCCCGACGAAGGGAAGAAGGCTCGTTCGAAGTGGGCGATGAAACCGCACTTCTCCTTGCCGGTCGAGAAGAAAGACTCGAAATGGAAGAGTCAGGAATCGACGGAAGGATTCAAGAGCAAGAGTCTGAAGGAACGGCCAAAGTACAGCATTCGAAGGAGCATGTCACCGGAACCGGATCCTCGTCAGATGACCAAACTGGAGAACAGAATCGTGCGAAGGTTGATATCCCCGGAAATCACGATTACAGGCGCGAAATGGGCTCCGTACGAGGACGCTTCTCCTCTGCCGACGATCGGGATGAAGAAACGCGAACCGAAGCACATCAGCGAGATCAAATGGACTCCCTACGACGGTTCACCGACGGAAGGTGGTGGCGGCGGCGGTAGCTTCGCGGTTCAGGAGCCGGAGGAACCGAAATCCTGGTCGCCCTTCCACAACGTCACGCCCACGCATCATCCGCCCCCGGAGGCGACACCTTGCAAGAGCGACGACGAGGACTTTCGATGGAGAATCCTTAACCAGGTTTCCGCGTTCCCGATCTATCAAGGCGGCTGGAAGGACGAGTCCCCGGAGAGAACTCCGCCGAAGAAGGTACAGTCCCCGGTGGATCTGTCACCGCCTATATGGTCACCTCTGGTTCCTACGACTCCCGTGAAGAGGCAGAGATCGCAACAGCAGCAATACTCTCCGCAACCTGTTCAGAGGAAGAGCATCGTGAAGAGCCGCGTAATGTCGAAGAGGAAGGCTCTTAGGGCGAGATCGGAGAGCAGTCATCAGAGCGAGGATAGATTAATACCACCTACCGTGATCGTTCGCGCGGCTAGCGAGGAAGCAAAGGGCCGACAGAGACCGCAGTTGACGAGATCGAAGGCTTTGTTAGAGGTTCCCGTGACGATGGGGATTACCAAGAGATCGTTAAGCGAGGAGGTGCCTCGTATGCGAGCTCGTGAACGGGCACGTGGCCCTAATAGAGCGCACAGCGAGGAGGCGCCCAAGTACGAGGACCCGTGGTTTACTAACGACAGCTTGGGAACCGAGGCGACCGAGTTGCGAGAATACGTGACGACGGTTTAAGTGGGGACGGTAGAAACGATTGACGGTACTCGAAATCGAAGCGAAGGTATTTTATAATTAATTTCCTCCCCTCGTTTGTCCGTGGACGGACGAAAGAGGGGAGGCGTTTCTCATGGTTAGCCCGATTAGATGTTTTGTACCGGCGTAGAAGCGAGATATGTACATTAAAGAGAAATTTGCGTGCAACTGCGATGACAAAATTATTTTCGTCTCCGAGCCGTTCACTTTGTTCAATTGCTGCTTCTGCTTCACTCATCGTCGACGCGTGACAGATAAGTAGCGCGCTGCGAATCGTACAGAGACCGTGGATTCACGAGAGCGAACCAACGTTAGGAGAAAATATTACGTCGAACGTTTATGGGTAAGCTCTCTCTCTCTCGAGAGAGAGAGAGAGTTAGAAAGAAGAAAAAAGAAACTAATGGAAGAGGATAAGGGGTTAAGGCGATGGGAAGATGAGGTTGGAACCTCGCGACGACCATCGACGCTCGCGCAAATTCCATATCGTTGGCCTACGAAACGAAGACTACGAATCGAAAGTTTTCTATCGCACACCCGAGAGAAAACGTTGTAGTAGTAGTAGTAGTTGGAAAGTCAACGATTCAATCTGTAGAAAAAATTGTGAGAAGGCGACAAAGATGTTAAGCTGAGGGGGACGAGCAAACGTCGAGACAAGGGGCTAAGTTGCGAAGCGAGTTCACCCAGCGTAGAGATAAATATTACACGTTGGAGGACTCGAGGGACAGATATCACGGCAGCCCTCGTGTGAGCGTTCTTCTGATAAACGAGGAACGATTTTCGGCTCAACGATACTGAACTATTTCAGCAACACTGAGCACCGAAAAGTACAGCTCGACGCGTTAACGGTCGAACGTAATATTCGATTAAACGATACATCCGACTTAACGATAATAATACGAGCTTAGATCTTTAAGTATAGTAGATATAAATACCGAATAAAAACGAAAGGAGAAATTACCAAGAACTGTGCGGTTTGCGTGTTGCTGGTCCGAAGAGCGGGCAGATGGATAGAGGAGTTAGGCTGATGGAAAGTCTTAGGGATGAAAAGGTCGATGAAACGAACGATACGATTCGAGTGCATGGTGAAGAGTTAGAGGAGTAAATCGGTCTGGTTGGAGGTACGAGACGAAGGTACGAAGTTCGTTTGGTGAGTCGTCGGAGCTCGACGAGAAGGACACCTTTGTTACACATTCCTTTCTGTTTCCGCGAACGAGAATAATAGCGTGAACGACCCGTCGTATAGTGAATATAGTGGGCCCCTCGGTGGGTCTCGGATGGATCGTTCGCGAATGCATAATACGCATAATTAAGTTCATACGTGAATTAATCTGGGGGCCGCTATCTGACGGCTGAGTTGAGGACGACATTTAGCAGCCCCTGTGTGCCGGCGCGTGCAATACTAATTAGGATTACATTTACGGTTCATTGAATAGCCACTTAAGGATGGGGTACTAAGGTTAAGCGAAAGAAAAACGCAATTAATCCACGTTATCGGCGGCTGCACGTACTTATTAAACGACTACGGTATGTTTTCTCAGTAGCGAACTTTTTCCATTGACTGGTCACCGTGGAATCGACGAACTCGCCGCTCGTCGAGGATTTTCGAGTACTGTATACATACTGTAAACGCATATGCTCTCTGTACACACGTTCGTCGGTCTCCTTGCGGCTTCTCTCGCCGCGATACTCGATCGTTTTAGATTTTTGATATTATTGCAAGGATATTCGGACGTATCTCTGGTGGCGGAGGAAGCCTCGATTGAAAGTGCATTTTGTATTTCGATTTCAATGCATCGCGATCATCCGTCGGTCTGTGCTACACACCGACTAATCAGTGCTTCGAACGTGTCATCTACGGAAACATTAATACGGTAACAATTTCACACCGGCATCTTACTCACCGAGCACTTGGCACGCGTGTTACTTTGTTATTATTCATTCCCGTTAATCGCAAAGTAATATGTACGTTGACTGCTGCCAAACAAATCCGAACATCTCGG